AAATTATATATATAACATTATGTATAAAATTATTTATTTTAGTAAAAGCTGCAGAATGCAAAAGAAGTCTAATTAAAACATCAAGCAGATTAGTATATAAAATAAAAGTGTAGATAGTTTGAGTGATATAGTATGACTTACCGGAGCAAATATCACCATACACATTTACAAAGGAATTTATATTCCGACTCTTTCCTCTGGAAATTAAGCAAGGGTTGTTGCATGCTAAAAGGAGCAATGTTTCCAAAAGCTTGCTTGCAGAAAGATGCGCTTGGCTGTCCTTTGCATAAAGTACAGTAAATCAAGGGAAGCAGGGTGTAATTGATGCTGAGAAAGTAAGAAGTTACACCAACCGAGAAGAAAAAATCCTCAGATCCCTCTTGGCAAGAATTGTCATAACATTAGAGATTACGGTGCAAAGCCTTTTGTAAGGCTGGGAGATCTGGGAGATACTTAAACTTTGGTGCAGAAAAACCTCTTCTGCCTTCGGAAGCTTAGCTGTACTCCAGGTTCATAGCACAAGGCAAGAACTGAATTTTCTATGTATAGATTCACAAATACATCCAAAGAGGAGGAGACACTTACTGGGTGGCTTCAGCATCAGGCTGTAAAGAAAGAACTTTTCTTCCAATGAGCTGGATTGGATTTTCTAGCTATAGTTTATGAAATGATTAAGACAAATGACATGAAATTATGATAATGTAGCAACCACTGCAATATACTGAATTACATCTCTTAGGGTCGTAAAATATGAACACTATCTCACGCCCTACCACTGCTGTACAGCTCTTCACTTTTAGCAGCCATCATTCTGGGCACAATCCTGTGCTCGAACTCCCCCCTGCAAACTGTGGTGGGTTTTAAAAGCTCAGTGGCCCCACTGGGGTAGGTTATGGCTGGTGGGTGGACCAGCAATCCATGGACTAGATGGGACAGAGTAACTGTACCAGAGTAGTCCGTGAACTAGCAACGTCCAAACCAGCGGGGAAAAGGTGGTGTCAAAAGAGAGACGCATAGTTGGGGAAGAAGCCAAAGGTCATTGCCATGGGAAACCAGAGCTGAGCATCAAAATCAAAGTGAGGAGCAAACATAGTCTAGGACCATTGCAACCATACTAATGAGATCATCAACAAAGGTCTATCCTTAAAGCAGTATTTAACTTCCAAACCTTTTTCAATAATGAATCCAGATGAAACAAATATACATTGTCCAGCAAAGTATTTCTTTACATTTTTGCCCAAGCACGTCCAGTCCAGTTATCAGCTGGCTCCAACTTTCTCAGCTCTGCTTCCCTAAACTTGCTGTTCAGTACAAGATCACAAGGGACAAAGCAGTCTTCAACAGCTGTTTATACACTAGCTTGGAGAAGGGAAGTAGTTTTCCCTGCTGTATCTGCATGTTTGTGGAGCTACACACAGCTTACTAGCACACACAAGGGTGGCCCTCTAGGACCCTGCAAGGGAAAGGAGCCACTCTAAAACAGGATATCAGGACCAGTGGTCAGGGGAACAGCGGATTCTGCAGGAAACTAAAACTGTTAAACATCAAGAAGCAGCATCCACTGTAAGTGTTTTGATCAGCATTTGAAATAGCTTAACAACCTTTTGACTTTAATTTTACTTTAATGACATCACAGTCACATGATTAGAATCTACAACAGAGTCACTTAAAGTATCTACAACAGGTGTCTTATATATGAATCAAGTTGCCCTTTCGGGGAAACCAGTCTAATATGGGACACACATGCTAATACTCACAGGTCACCAGTTAAAACTGCCAGGTGTATCACAGGCTGAAGCAAATATCTGCTATCCAGTCTGTCGCCCTGGGGACACTTGCTAGAAGAAAAATCAAATCAAAACGGAAGAAAGGAAAAAAAATTCTCTAGAGAAAATTTTTTAGCTCTTTACTCCTGACGCTAGGCAAAAAACTGGAGACTTGTCAGCAGGTGGGGGGTTTGGCCACCGGCAGGGGCCGCCCCTAGGCTGTAATTGGTCTTTAGTTTTGTGCCTAGCGTCCTTCTCCTGCAGGTGGCGATATTACCCTACCATTCAGGATCTACGATCTGTTGCCTGTGTCCTTCAATGAACGGGAGAGAAAAAGGATTTTTGCAGGTAAAGATGAGCAAGCTATACCAGTAATTGATTTGTTCTTGGACTTTGTAAATCTATTACACTTCACTAATCTCCATAACTTGTAATGATTGTGCCAGGATATAGGTGGGGTCTGGACTGGTACAGGTCATGTGTGATACACAGTTTGGCAGATGACCTGACCCAACTTTCTTTAGGAATTCGCTTCTCTGCCTTTTGGCTAAGATGAAGTTTGTTTTGATGCACGTCCACGGGCTTAAAAAAAAAAACTTTCTTTAGGAATTATGCCATGCACATCCCACTGCACAGTTGTCACCACTTCTGTATTACTCTGTCATCCCAGTCCTGCATCCCAGTTTTATTGGTCTGGTAGAGTGATCCTTTTAGATGGAGAAGACATGCAGACATTGGTGGGAGCTAATAGGCAAGAGATGTACTGACAATAACGATGTTCAGGGGAATTCACCATCACTCAGTTTGACTGCAGGCTTTTCTTCACAATGTTACTTCTTCTTATTGGTGCCCCTATCATGCTCTACTTTTCTCTCCAAAATGGATAAGCGATCATCATTGGTGTCAAATGGGTGGCCAACTTTCTCATCTATCAAGGATAAGCATTTGGTATGGATCTTTGAGGAAACCCCATGGAATAATTCCAGACTAATTTCTTTGCCACCTGGGAGTTTTGGGTCATCCCATCCAACTTTGTTTACTTCTGTAACTGTGGGGAGCGGTGACATCACAATTATGTGACAGTACTTAAGAATGTGTGACAGGGTGACAATGCAGGAGTATAATTCAGAGACAGTTGTCATCCTTAACAGAAAGTACCCAAAAAATGTCCTTCATGGCAGGATTACCATGTGTTTTTTAAATGAAAGCTGCAAATTTAAAAACATTGAAAACAATTTTTGAAACTACATTAAAAGGTCAAAGTCCATATAAGATTTTAGCGATTAGGTTTAAATCTACTTCAATTTCCCATTTCAGATTATATGGATGTGGTGTGGCAAGCTAACATTTCCATCTCAGGGTCTGATTCCTGGTTTATAGTAGGGTGAAAAATTAGTTGGGCTCCAGTCATTTTAGTCTTTTAACCTTCTATTGCTGTACACCAGGGCGTATGGTGAATGCCCACACTTTGTCATGTGTTCACAAAACATGCACAAACACGGAACGTGCTTGCATTACCATTACCAATGGGCACACATGCCAAATGCGGGAAAACAAAGTCCCACAAATGTGCAGGAATGTGCATCCCCATGACACACGTCCCCGTGACATTGTGGTGTGAACGGGACCTTAGAGAGAGGGTTTGGGGTGCAAAATGCTCAAACAGAGAACAAGCCGAAGGCCGGCCGTTCGCCCCGTAAATGACAGATCAGCATTCCAGTTGTAATGACAGATCAGCGTTCCCAAATCACCTAGGGATGCTGTCATTAAACAATAACAACTGGGCGGAGCTGGCCGTGACGTCACGGCCGGGTCCACCCAGTTGTTATTCATCAGCCGTACTGAGCAGGAGTGAATAGCCAAACGTCGTTCGGCTCTGTTCACTTCGGCTCGGTTATTCACAGCTGAGTGAATAACCCGGTCAGTGTTTGTCCTTCCCACAATAATTAGATCCTTCACAGTAACAGGCAGAAAGAACCAACCCACTCATCTTAGGGAAGACCTGCAGAGCCTAGAAGAAAGGTAAATACAGGTGAAACTCGAATAATTAGAATATTGTGCAAAGTTCATTTATTTCACTAATGCAACTTAAAAGGTGAAACTAATATATGAGATAGACTAATTAAATGCAAAGCAAGATAGTTCAAGCTGTGATTTGTCATAATTGTGATGATTATGGCTTGAAGCTCATGAAAACCCCAAGAACCTCAATTCCACAATCTCAAAAAAAGTAGAATATTACATGCAATCAATAAAACAAGGATTGTACATAGAACAATATCGGACCTCTGAAAAGTACAAGCATGCATATGTACTCGGTTTGGGCCCCTTTTGCAGCACTTACTGCAATTACTTTTGCACGATATTCTAATTATTTGAGTTTCACCTGTAAATGCTTAGGCTTGTTACAGCCTAGCAACAAAGACACTAAAACTAGTTTTGGATACAACAAGAAATTCATTTTAAGATCAGTGGTAAGATTTTGATAGCTCAGGACTTGGCCCTGATCACCATGGTTTAAATACTTGTAAAATGTGGGTGAAATGTATTCACTCTACAGCACATAGTAAATGACATGCAGAGATTTCACTAAGTGCCAGGCTTTCAAATGATTGTCTGATGCCAGATTCCTCTTACACTTTGCTAATATGTATATTTAAGATCTGCTTGATTGAGTTTACTGAATATTTCCCAAGCTAGACCTTTATGTACATCTGGGATACGAGACTTCAGAGCTGCCAATCAAAGCCTTTGAACACACTCATAATATGCAAAGTGAACTGACAAGCCTTGTTAGCTTTGAAGAGAATGATCAGTGCAGTTAAAGGGACAGTGATATCAACAAGCTGTATGTTTTTAAGATTTGCTTAAAGTAGATGAAGACCGTAATTGAAAGACATTATGTTTGCTGAAACACTGTGTATCATAAACAACTGCAGTTTAAAAAAAAAAAAAAATCAACTTCAACTTTTTGAATTCTTTATTGCTTCTCAGTGCTGATGATTTTCTGCAGCATTTTTTCAGCCACTTCCTGTAATCAAGCCCCCCAACAATGCCTGAATGGTATTTCTCAGGGCAGGTTTCCTGTTGCTGACATAAAAGTGTGCAGAAATGGCCACTTATAGTCTCAACTGCACACCCATGTGACAGGCTGACAATGACGGAACACAGTTGGAAGGCAGAGATAGAGGGTTGTCACATTATAACAGGAAGTGCCTGAACAAGGGCCTTTATGGCATCACCAGCTCAGCAAGTCATCATGTAGTGCTGGAAAAGAAGAAGAGACTGAACCTGGCCATGCTAGTATGGATCTGCTTTCTTGGTTATTGTGATCAGGAAGGAACAGATAGCCCTTCATTCTAAAGGGATCTGTCAGAATAACATAAAGGGGTCTATTCACTAATTCGGCCGACCCGAAGTGCAGAAGGAGTTCGCCTCAGCCGATCTTCCTGGAGGATCCTCCGGCAGGCTATTCACTGCTGTTCGGTCTATTCTTATAGATGCCGAACAGCAGTGAGTGAATAGACGAATGCCGCTGAGCGGCATTCGGCTCGGCTGTTCTGCTTGGTCCCTCAGAGGGACCGAGCAAAACAGAAAAATAGTTTTTAAAAAGTAAATAGATCCCGTACAGCACCCCTTCAGTTCTACTGAACCGAAGGGGTCCTGGGGCCGAAAACTAGCCGAAGGGTCGGCCGAAGCTGTGGCCAGATCCTTCGGGAGCCTCGTGAATAGACCCCAAAGTGATTTATTAACCATTTAGCTTTGTAACA